GGAATTCTGCTGCAAACCAGAGCGGATGGGATATTGAATGGCACGATGTGGTTCACAATATTGAATAAAGATTTTAATAGCTTTTACTCCACATATTGGTCGCTTCATAAAAAGCTTTGGTACGCATCGGCATCAGCATGCCTTACAAACGTATGCCTCGTATGTCTTCATCACAGGCTTATACATGAATCTGAGATTGTTTATATAACGCGCGCATGCTTCTACATGCTGATAGAGCTTATACATTTGGGTACAGTCATCTATATATCTCATGTGCTTGCGCGATGGCCGTAAGAAAGCCACTAGGAGTTACGCTTACACAGGGGTTAGCTATTTGTCATTCGACATTAAAACTGAATACTTTCATAATTAGAAGACATATTATCTGGAATATGAGACAACGTTGAACCTTCACTCATATTGTTGGTTCCAGAAACGCTAAAAAGGCCACATGTCCACACAATCATATAAGAGGCGGTGTATAATAGCCAAAGATTATTATTTTATCCCCAAAAGGTACGGTATGCTTGCTATCACCATCCGCGCAATATTAAGCAATGATATTATCAAACTTCCTTGAAGCACGATCACGCGATGCTTATATATAGTATACCAGTTTTATATACTTCAGTGACTTGCTGGTTGAAAGCGCGATACTTCAATCGAGTACGCTATATTAAAATTCATATGCTTCGGAAGCTTTGGGAAGTCAGGTTCTCCGAGTAATATATGTGGATATCTCTCCGAGTAGAAGACAAGGACAAAGGCCTCACAAGTTATCATATATTGAATCTTACTGTGCCTCTTTGACAGAAGCTATCATTAATGCTTAAATAACTATTGTGATCATACTTCATGCTTACAAATCGTGACATATCTGACTTATTTTGATAATCTTATGTCTCTATTATGAAACTCATATAAGTTGCCGGGACTCACAGACAATGAACAGTGAAGATCACAATCTCACTGAGAATGAAGATAGACTTAGAACAGTTTATCTGATTTATATACTCTCATCTTGAGTTCTTTTAACTACTTCTATTATGAAATCCATAAGAGATTGCAGGGCTCCATGACTGCTAAAAGGCAAAGACAAAAATCTCGCGTGAAACACGGACAAACTCAAAAACAAATGCTACATTTCCTATAAGCAACATTATTTTGAACTGATTAAACATGATCTTGTTACAATTATCATCTCCGTGATATAATGTTATTATTCTGTGAGATCTATGGAAATTACAGGTTTCACCAAACAGAAGAAAAGTCCTCCAAGTTAAAGCGCAATGAAGAAAATAACACGATTCTCTCACGAATCCTCCAATTAACAGGACTCCTCTCATGGATCCTAGGAATCCTATCAAGTAATAGGGTTCTCTCACGAATCCTCCAAGTAACAGGATTCCTCTCATGGATCCTAGCAACTAACAGGGTTCTCTCACGAATTCTTCAAGTAACAGGATTCCTCTCATGGGTCATATCAGCTAAAAGGATTCTCTCACGAATCTTCCAAATAACAGGATTCCTCTCATGGATCCTAGCAAATAACAGGGTTCTCTCACGAATCCTCCAAGTAACAGGATTCCTCTCATGGATCCTATCAACAAACAGGATTCTCTCACGAATCCTCAAAGTAACAGGACTCCTCTCATGGATCTTATCTAGTAACAGGGTTCTCTCATGAATTCTCATGGTTCCTATCAAGTAAAATGATTCTCTCACGAATCCTCCAAATAACAGGAATCCTCCCATGGATCCTATCAGCTAAAAGGATTCTCTCATGAATCCTCCAAAAAACAGGAATCCTCCCATGGATCCTATAAGATAAAAGGATTCTTTCACGAATCCTCCAAGCAACAGGACTCCTCTCAAGGATACTTTCAACGGATCGGAACTATTCACTTCGCGATCCTCCATGATCAAGCGCGATACATCTGGCATACGTCATTACATCTCGACAACATGCCAATAACAAAGGTACGCAAAATATATGCATTATGAATTATGAACTGTATAACAATGCAGAATACAATCATGAAGCTCTTAAGCACCTATACAAAAGTACAGACCATAGTTCCAGATAAAGGAACAAGCGCAATGAATTTTCCAGATTGATAAACAGACAAATCATCCCACAAAGACTTATACATCTCGCTCATCATGCCTTCGGCATAAGCAACGAGTTGGGGGCTTCTTATTTGGATAATTATTATACAAATACAAGGCCCAAACTAAAAACCTTCACAATGAAGCAAAGCCTTAGTCCAAGAAGGCTGCAAGCTGCATAATATTGAAGACTCCATGACAGTAAGCTCCATCATAATAAATACATGTTGCTATCTCATCTATAAACAACAAGCTCATGACAGCCATCAAGCTGCACAATATTAATGGCCTTATCTCATCAAGCTCCTCAACATTAAACATGGCAGCTCTTTTACTTTGGCACATTTACTTTGGCACCAAGACAAGCCTCCCACAAGAACAATTAAGGAGGAACCTTTGCCTTCACCATGAAGAAAGGCATCTTCCAAGCTGCACATCTCTCCACTATAAATACATACCTATTAACACTAAGATACATATCTTCTTCTACATAATTAAACCTGCTTGAACCATATCTGACTTGAGCGTCGGAGTGTCTTGCAGGTACATCCTCCATCGCGTTGTATTGAAGACCCATGAGATAAAGTGGCCTAACTGCAAGATGCTCTGACCCAAGACGGATCCAGGCTGTATAGAGGAAGATCACATGATCGGCCCAGTTGTAAAGATCTGTTCCGATCAAAATCAATTTTACAAAATTCTTCACATTAAACAAGTTTTTATTTTTTATTTAAAAAAAAAATGTTTTATAAAATACTAATTAAACAAGTCCTTAGATTCACAGTCTCTTGTCTTCTTTTCCACTTTCACCTTATTAATAATTAATTCATCTGTATAAATAAAGGATTTGATCTTTGTAAGAGGACAATTTGGAAAAAGCACCATTCTAAACTTTTTAGGCAAATAATTGTCTATTAAAGTTGATTGAATAAATTTTTCTAAACTAATACAGTCAAACATGTCTCTGTTACTGATGAGGCTCGTGTCATATCAGCGCCACATAGGCAATCCATTATCATAAAATTTTGAAAGACCATAATTTTTGACTTGGATATTCAAATCAGATGATTTTTTTTTATTTCACGTAACTTTTTGAGATCTACGCAATGACACCTCATTTGACATATTTTATCTCCGACAAACGTAGTTCAAAGTTGTAACAATGGTAGAGCTGACAAAATGGGCTGAGCCCGCCAAGGCGGGGCGTACTGAGTTTTTCAAGCCCGCTGCTCGCCAAGCCCACCAACCCGCCCTGGCTGATTTTTTTTATTTTTTTTTAGTGTAAAATGTCACGGACTTGGCGGGCTGAGATATCTAACCCACCTTCAAAGCCGGGGCGGGGCAGGCTAGCCCACTTTTTGGCGGGCTTTTGACGGGTTGGGGCGGGGCGAGCAACCCGCTTTGCCACCTCTAAACAATGGTACCACTAGGGGTGTCAAAACGGGTCGACACGACACGAATTTCACACGACACGAATACATCAACACTAACACGACACAAATTTTTATTCGTGTCAATCTTCAACACTGACACGACACGAATTTTTTGCGGGTTGACACGACAAGAATAACACGCAAAATAGGGGTCAAAATGGTAATTGACAAAATTTTTTTAAAAAAATGGATCGATATTAAAAAAAAATTAAAATTTTAAAAAAAATATGGGTCGACACGAACACGAATACATCAACACGAACATGACACAAATTTTCTACGTGTCATTTTTTTCAACACAAACACGACACGAATTTTTTTGCGGGTCAACCCGAACACGAATTTTCGTGTCGTGTCGTGTCGCGGGTCTACCCACATGTCAAAACCTATATTGACACCCATAGGTACCACAAACACAAAAATGTTTAAATACATAAGATAACACATGTGGCATGGTATAAGTCCTGTCATTATTATTGACGAGACTAATCCCATCGGTATCATGACATGTTTGACTGTATTTTTTAAAAAAACTTATTCAATCAGCTTTAAGTGGACGTTTCTTTTGCTAAAAGTCCTAAAACAATGCTTTAGTCGGACAATTTTTATGTTATAGTATTCTACACACATCAAATAGTATGTAAAGTTTATATTTTTTTCTTTCTCTTTCTTATTTGCATATAACTTTTTAGGAATCTCACATACTTTTATACATGTAGAAAAAAAATTACGACATTAGAAATATCAAATCCATAAATAAATATAAAACTATGCTTTATTTAGATAAAAACAAAAAATAATTTTTTTAAATTTTTGTTGTGTAAAAAAAATAAAGGATAGTCTTTCATTTAGTCACAGATTTATTATTCCTAAAAAATTATTGTTATATAGTTAAAGTAAATCAACATTATTATAAATGGTTGGCTTTTTGTCATGTCACATGATAAGACCATTTTTTGCACACACAAATCAAGTGTGGGTCTCACGCTTAAAATAAAAAAAGTCAAACCAAAATCAGAATACGGCGCCGTATCCTCAAGATACGTTACCGGATCCTTGTTGCAAGAATGAACAGTATTATTCCTGTAACATGATTCTTATATTTCCCTATTATAAAACGGTAGTAACAGTGGAATCTAAAAAAAGAAAAGCAACAGCCTAACAACCAAAGAGTAGGTAATGGTCATTGGTCATCATCACTCATCACAAGATTCACAACGCGAGCGAATATTATTACTATTTATATAATATATATTTATGAATTAAGAAAACTTTCCTTACCAAATTTTCAAGTTGAACTGGACACCAAAATTAAGTTGAAGAACTCATTTCCGGTTCATCCACGAACAATAATTTAAGTTAGAATATGGCTGGCCCCACTATAACATGAGAGAACCAATAAAACGAAATGGTAACGACCTCACCACCAAATTTCATCCACAAATATATTGTTGTCGTCGCTGTCGCCGTCATTCAGAAGAAGAAGAAACCTCAATGGAGGTGTTGCACTTGCACGCTCCCGATTTCCCCATTCGCTATTCTCTTTTCAAACCCATCTTACCCACTCGTATACTCTCCTCCGTCATCTTCCGCCGCCGCAACTCGGTCTCCGGCGTCCGGTTGTCGTTTCCGACGGCGTGCGCTGCGGCGGAGGTGTCTGAGGGTGGGAAGATGGTGATTGAACTGGTTGGAGCTTTCAACTCTCTGACGGAGAGGATGAACGTGTTGTCGACGAGCTCTTCTCGTCTTCTATTCAAGTCACTGAAGCTCTCAATCCCCATCTTGCAAAGTTCACCTCTTTCTCCCGATGGTCGTTCTCCACTTTCCAAGGCCTTATCTGTTGCTATGGTTCTCGCTGATCTCCAGGTACCACTCTTCTTTTCACTATTTCTTCTTCTAACCAAAAACATTTTATCTATTGTACTTTACTTAATTCAACTGCTAGATAATTAATGTTTATAAACTAATAAATTTTAAATATAATCTGTTAGAGAGTATTTCTTTCATGTATTGTGTATCTAGGGTAGGGATTAAATTTATAATTCTGTATTTCCTTGTTTATTAGACATGTTGGGACTAATTTTTTAATTTTTTATTTAAAAAAGCAATGTTATTTCATTACTGTTTATTGTTTCTTTATAGTAAATGTGACTGCAGATGGATGCGGAAGTTATCTCTGCTGGGATATTGAGAGAGGTATTGGAGGCAGGTGAATTGACTATTCATGAAATTCGAAACCAGATAGGTGTTGCCACTGCTCATTTGTTGCATGAGAGTTTGCGTGTGAAGAACATTCCATCCAGAGTTGATGTTCTCGATGATGATAATGCTGCTGCTTTGAGAAAGTTCTGCTTGACTTACTATGACATCAGGGCTTTGATTTTGGACTTGGCTTTGAAGCTTGACACCATGAGACATCTTGATTATCTGCCGAGATATCAGCAGCAGATCCTTTCTCTACAAGTTATGAAAATACATGCTCCTCTTGCTTATGCTGTGGGAACTAACTACTTATCACTTGAGTTGGAAGATCTCTCGTTTCGGTATTTGTTTCCTTATTCATATCTTTATGTTGATACATGGTTACGGAGTCATGAGACTGGGGGTATATCTCTTATTGACATATATAAGGAAGAACTTCTCCAGACACTAAAAGCTGATTCCTTGCTCGCAGAACTTGTGGATGATATCTCAGTTAAAGGTCGCTATAAAAGTCGTTATAGTACAATGAAGAAACTTTTGAAGGATGGTCGGAAGCCAGAAGATGTAAATGATGTGCTTGGGCTACGAGTGATATTAAATACTAAGCCTGGAGATAATACATTGGAATCTGGAGAGAGAGCATGCTATAGGACTCATCAGATCATCCAATCTATATGGAAAGAAATGCCTTATCGAACAAAAGATTATATTGCAATGCCCAAAGCAAATGGGTATAAAAGTTTACACATGGCAGTAGATGTAAGTGACAATGGCAGGACCAGACCATTGATGGAAATACAGATAAGAACAACTGAAATGGACAGGTTAGCTGTTGGGGGAACGGCATCCCATTCATTATACAAGGCTGGCCTTACGGATCCAGAGGAGGTTAGTGTCCTCTTTTGATAATGAAAATATAAATATCCATCATAAAACTATACACAGAAGTAAATGATGGCCCCCTGCCCTTTGTGCCCCATTAAGTGTAAAACAAAAAACTAAATCTAAACAATGCCATCTTTACTTATCTAAACACTAAATCTATAACTACACATGGAATCATTGAACTTATCCGTATTCTGTTATGTTCTCGAGAGAACTCGAGAGAAGACAAAGAAGGAAATTGGCATTTATTTTTTAGTTGTTGATGCTCAGGCAAAGCGTCTAAAGACCATCATGCTGGCTGCAGCTGAACTGGCTGCTCTGCGCCTCAAAGATTTTCCAAGCACAAATCATAAAGGGATTGAGATTGATCAGAGGGATAGAGTATTTCGCCTTCTTGACAAGAACGGAGATGGTAAAATTAGCATTGAGGAACTTACAGAGGTGATGGAGGAGCTAGGTGCACCAGGAGAAGATGCCAGAGAGATGATGGAGCTCCTTGATTCAAACAGTGATGGCTCCCTCAGCTCTGATGAATTCCATATGTTTCAGAAACAGGTAATTTGATATCTTGTCACGGATATAGTAAAGTTTGATTTTTTTATGTGCATCTTTATGCTTTTTGTCAGAAATTTTATATAGTTATATGAAGTTTCTTAACGATCCAACTTTCAGATTACCAAAGCTTACTTTCACTAAATGTTCATGGAGAAGTTAGAACAATTGGAGATAGATAATTTGGTACCTGAAATTGCCTCCCTGCTCTCATAATTGGTTCAAATTAGCTTTATTTTGGCTTGGATGCCTCATAGCTGTCAGTTAACGATATGCTGCTGGTTGAGGGCATATTAACTACTCTTTTTTTTTTTTGTGAACTACTAACTCTTTATTTATTCAGATCATAATGTCTTTCAACAGTACATACCAGATTCTGTTCCTGTTTATTACAATAAATGCTAGCTAAATATCTTGTCTGATCAGTTGTAAGTTTTGTGGTTCTTGATTTTGTAGGTTGAGTTGGTGCGTAGTTTAGAGGTCCGGGATGATGAATACAAGAAAATATTGGATGAGAAGCTTCAAATGGCAGATGACAGTGGTTTAATCCAGGTATATAATAAGGAGTTTGGCAACAGGCTTGCGAGCTAGTAGTGCATCTAATTGGAAGGAACAACGAACTCATTCAGGTTGCCTTCCATCCCCTCCCCCTCCCTGCTTCTGAAAAATTAAATAAGTAAATAAAAAATTTAACGCTCTTCCTTCCATTCCTCATAGGGTTCTCACTTATTTAATCTATTATGGGTGTAGCCTCAAGCCCTCAAACTATCCTTAAAGGAAGTGAAAATGATCAGTAAGTTAGAGCTATTTGTAAGTGATATATTTTCCATGTAAATAAATTAATGGCATAGTGAAATTCCAGTTAATGAGAAATGTCTCAAAATCTTGTTTCTTATTTCTTATTTTATAATTCAATATTATCTTCAAAATCCAAAAGAGAGGAAAAAGGGAAAAATTAATTTTGAAACCAGGAAGTTTTATTCATATAATATCTTACCTAGATGACGAATGAAGAGGCAAGCATGTAAAGCTCATGAATAATTAAATCAGAATGTGGGGCAGGTCACTATAAGCCTGTTCTTGATGCCAGAAGCCACTTGGATGCAGTCATTTATGTTATATGTGTTCCATTTTGAAATATTGCAGCCAACTCTCATCCTAAGCTTAGGATGGGAATCTAAAAGCCAACTTATTATTTCGGTAAATAATCTAAAAGCCAATAATGAGGACTGATTAGCTGTACTGATGAGCAACTATATAAGTGGCTCTAAGCATGTTCTATTGCTTTTGATATTTTAACGAGACCCTCTTTCGTGAGGTTAGTGCTCATTCAAGTTGACACTTACTCGTTTGGAAAATTATAGTCGCATTCTTTTTCGTATTGTTCTTATATCCGACTCCTTTTTTTGTTTGGGAAATTATGCATACCTCTAAATTCATGCATGGATCCCGTACCATTTTCTTACATAGACAATGAAGTAGGGAAAAGTGGAAAACAGTTGTATTTTTTCAAACAAGCGACGTGTTAGGTGGAATAAGTGTTAATCCCAATGAAATTACTCCTATTTTCAATTCATTTGCAGTTTGTGTTGCCTGTTCCCAAGAGTATTAATTTTAGTTTGTCTTGATACTTAATTGAAACTCATCTTCAGGATATGCACCTTTTTCTCTCCTTTTTGATTGATAGAAGTTAGGCACAAGCACAGTTAGGTACCTTTCTTATAATAATGAGAAAATACTGAATTTCAATATCTGTTTTCCTGGGAGAGTGCGTGCACGGGTGCAGGGTTGCGTGCATACGTACTATGTGGGCACGTTCATAATTGAAATATAATTATCCTTTTTGCAATCATATTCAACTACCTGACCTGAGTAGGCAATATAACTATTCCTGACAAGCTAATCGATTATCCAAAGTTTTAGTTTGTCCTAATTTCATGGTTCTTCTGTTAAGAGATAAACCTCCTTAATATGCCAAAAAGCCCTGCAAAAAATGAAGCTGATGCAAGACAGGATATCGATTTCAGGTTCACTAGAACTTACTTTTGCATAGATATGCCGTCATTCGGGGCTCAACTATTTAATGGATAGCTAAATTCAAAATCTATGCCATTACAAATCTAACATATATGCATTTCACTTACACTTTAATTATAACTTTACAATTGACTTTTAACCATCTATGTAGCTATCCGACCTGAGCATAAAATAAACTATACGTTATCTGGCTTCTTCTTCTGAGCTCACTACCGCTTGCCTTGGGGGCACACCCAAATCATTCAATAACTTATTGCATAGCTGCATCACAAGAAAAATATATAGAAATCAGCCTCTGATTTTAAATGGGGGGAGACAAAGAGAGAGAGAGAGAGTACAAATACCTGTCTATATACAGAAGCATCTCCATTAGACTTCCCTAATTCTACTACATATAATGATGGTCTTATTTCAAGCACCTGTCATGTTGAAGTTAGTTTCTTAACGTCAGCAAACTATGCAGATATTAAAATAGATTAGCTCATTCTAAACATGCAATACCTCTACTGCCACTGAGAGGCTGCCAAGAGTTTTATTCGCCTTGTTCTCTTGTATCATTTTCAACTGAAATATTCATGTTAAATTTACTTTTTAGCCAAACTAATAGAAGCAGCTTTAACTAACATAAGCAACAGTACTAACTTTGCCATTTTTCTTCTGGACTCTAAACCCCATTTCTGTCACACTGTCCTCAATCCTCTCGATCAGGTCTTTAGCTGTAAGGTTGGATGTAAATCTTATCTTCCTCTCAGAGACATCCTGTAACTCAAACCACATTGTCCGTGAAAATGAGTTAAGTTTCCTTATGAGTTGGTGAATGTCAAAAGACACAGGAAATTATGCTCAAACTATATAATAAGTGTCCTGCCAACTAACTTCCATTCTCACCTCTGTCTCAAAAAAGCCGGAGAGGTCTAAGCATGAAGACATCCCTATCAACTGAAATGCATTGATAAGGGTAGGTGATCCTGAACTCCTCTGTTCTTCTTGATGTGGCTATTACCAAGATAATAATTTTGCGTTACAACCCCAAAAAAAAAAAAAAAAAAAAAAAAAAAAAAAGGAGAGTGGTGAAAGAAGTAACCCCAAGTACAGATGAATGAAAGCTGGAAGTTCAAGAGTATACCAATTCATGGATGGACAAGGCTTCATTGTCAATACATACATCCTCTTCCTCATCCTCAGGATTTGCTGGAGTGTAGCCCTGCTTGAACCATGGATCTTCTTTGATCCCAGCCATTGTTATCCGGGTCACAGGGTTGGGATCAAGAATCCTCTTTATCATGTTTTGTGCACCAGGCGATAGCCATTTTGGTATCTGAACATCTCCTTTAAAAATCTGTTATCCCTCAGAGGAAAAAAAAAAAAAATTGAGAATAAATTTATAGAATACTAAACTAACCGTATAGAAGGAGAACATAGAGACAACAACAGAATACCTTTTGATAGAGAACTGCAAGATTTCTATCATCAAAAGGTAGGTATCCTGTTAGGATTACATACAAGATAACACCACATGACCATGCATCTGATGTTGCACCGTCATAGCCCCTATTAGCAAGAATCTCCGGTGCAACATAGTTTGGACTTCCACAAGTTGTATGTAGCAATCCATCTGCCTGAAAAATTTTCATACAGTTACCACATAAGCCAATAACCAAAGTGATTATGCAATTTGCCTTGTTGTGTGGTTCAAAGAATATCTTACCCTAAAATGCTGGGGTAAAGCACTAAGGCCAAAATCAGTTATCTTTATGTTCCCTTTGGCATCCACAAGCACATTCTCAAGCTGCAGAACATAGCATCAAATGTTATGTTTAGAAATGCAAGACAGTTCTTAAAGAGTTAAGAAGACTGAGAATGAACCTTGAGATCCCTGTGGAAGACACCTTTGTTGTGGCAGTAGCTAACACCATCAATCAACTGTTGGAACATCTTTCTACCTTCACCTTCGTTAAGTTTACCCTTGTATGCCTACGAATACAATCATCTCATTAAATGTCATTGATCATCATTGATCATATATATCAATAACAAGTAACTGATCCTTACAATTTTGTCAAATAACTCCCCTCCAGTCACGTACTCAAGTACCATATAAATTTTTGTTTTGCTAGCCGAGACCTACGTAATTAATCATAATCAGAAATATCAATGATACAAATGCAAGTTACAAACACAATACATTACTCCTACCAAAGATAAATAAATAAAACACAACAGATTAAGTCAATGTGAAAAAGGGGACCAATGGATGTTTCTGTCCTGAGAGCAACAGAAGGAATAAGCATAGGGAAAAATATTAGTGTCGGCTGTGTGCCAGACCAATTACATTGATACACCACATGGTGGGACCATTGGATATGAATAATTTTATTTTCTGAATACGAAGTACGCTTATGATTGTAGTCAATCAGGAACTTATTTGGGGACCTCAAAGCATGGACATATATTATTAATTAATGCATGGTTGGCAATACAAGAATGTTTCTATCTACTATTAATAATATTACTAACAAAGTATCGAATGGACAACTCGGATAAATAGAATCCCAGATAGATAACACCACCACCACTACCACGTAATACTTTTGTGCAGAGCCCACTGCCAACTAGCCATACAAAAATCATTAATGTGAAATCTTCTAACCAATTATTTTATTTTTTATGTTTTATTCGGGATATTTTCAATGTTGACAACAAGTAGTGGATTGAAATCCAAATAAGTATCCATGCCATTTCTTAATCATTCAGTCACTACCTTCATTGAATAACATGATTATGAAGCACAATCCACGCAATAATTCATTGAAATTATTACTTTGAATTAACAAGGAACGGCAAAATAAAATGCTAAAAATTATATCCAATTGTGTATTCCTTAAGTTTGAAAATTCACAAAGCAACGTTGGATACTTGGATTCCTAACGTGGCTTGTTTGGTTTGGGTGACTTCGTCCAGAATTTAGCATCACATAATTGAATATTCTTCTCGCTCTGGCATACTGTTGTTGGTTCATAAAATAAAATAAAATAAAAGTCTGTTGTCTGTATTCAAATCACCGTTCATGTCATTTAATTAATCACTGAAATGAAAATAAGAGGATCAATTGGTTGTGTGACTCGGTTCAAGTCACAAACCCACACCTTGAAAAGGACAAAAAGGGGACGCATATGGGATATAATATAATCCAGACATAAAAGATATAAATATAATAATGGATTTGTAACACTAACATCACCTTATCTTCAAAAATAAGGACGTGTGTCATTTCTTGAGAGGAAAAAAAAAAACCAATTTTTGTGTTTGAATCCACTGTTGACTATGTGTGATTCTTCTTCAATTAGAAAAGAAAAATAAGTCTATTAATTTATATTCTTTCATTATATGACATTATTATGCTTTAAAGAAAATAACAATATCAAAATTCAAATTAGAGTAGTAGTTGTAGATTAAGTGAAGCATATTTATAAATATTAACTAATTAATGGTACGTGGGTGATTTGGAAAAAATATATATCTTTTATTTTTTATTTGGTCAATCCCAATTAATTTGGGATAAAGTTATTATTAATATTGATATATCTTTTTATTTATTACCATAACCTGTTGTAATTTTTTAATTAAAAAAAATATATTCTAAATCCATGGCAGATTTGGGTGTGTGAGGTGGATAATAAGTTCGTGAGATTTGTGATTCTCGGTTGGCCTATAATTATTGGTGGCATCATAATATTATAAAATTAATAAATAATGATACGTGGAAATTCTAAAAAGAGAGAGGCAAATATATGGTACTAGGATTAGGTGCAACAACACCTTTCTAATAAAATATACACTTAATCATCTTTTGAATCTCTTTATTATGGCTAATGTACATTCATATCAATCTTTTAATATTTTTTGTTCGAATTTAATTTTTCAATCACTACAATCAAAAATTTCATTAAATCTTTAGATTTCAGATCGTTCGAAAAGTAAAACAAAAAAATGATGGGATGACTAAATTATAGTAATTAAAAGATAAAATTTAAAAAATAAATAAAAAATCTCACATTAATAAGAGACTAAAAATGCAAATTAAACACAGGCTATACAATGATCAGACAGAGGATGGGAGTACCTCGCACAATCTAACAACATTGGGATGCTTGAGGAGCTTTAAGGTGGCTATTTCCCTCTTTATCTGCAAATTTCACAAACATGAAAATAACATAGAGCTAAGCATTGTGTTTGAAACAACATTTCTTAAAAAGAACAAATAAAGTCCACTGAATAAAAAAGAACACAAATGGTTAATGGACATGGATTTACTGGTCAGAACAAAATCAGAAGGAAACCCAACAGAAGGACCACGCAGTTTTTCTTTTTTTCGTGTCAGAGGACTTAAAAATTAGATTTTTTGGCTGCTCATTGAACTCTTCACGAGGAAACCAAAAAAAGGTGTGAACTTTTCCAATTTCTGAAAACAAAAACAGAGAAAGAAGAAGAACTTATTAGTGGGTTAATTGAGCATACCTGATCAGTGATATTGAGATCGATGATCTTGTTCTTCTCAATGATCTTAATGGCAAAAGGTTGGCCAGATTCTGTGTTCCTAGCAAACTTGACTTTACCAAAATTGCCTTCACCAAGAGTCCTACCCAACTCATATTTCCCAAGTCGAGTTACCTCCTTCTCGTTCTTCTTCCCAATGTTCACAATCACCATTTTTTTTTTCTTCCCTTCTTTTTTCTGCTTTGGCAAAATGGGTCAACACCCTTTTGCCCAAACAGGTCCTCCTTCTCTTCCTGACACCAAAAACCGATTCTAAACCCAAGAAATCAGAATATAAACCAGCCAAGTTTTTTGCTTTTTCTGCCGAGGCAATCCTATGTATGACACGTGCCACAGTAGGTGAAACCGTTGGGAATAGAAAAAAAAAAGAGCTACAGAAAACGATTCCCGAAATACGGGAAAAAATGAACGAAGCTTTAAGCTTTAAAATAAGAAAATTGGCCAAAGGGTATTGGAAATGGATGAAGATTGAAGACGCAGCACAGATTGAAGACGCAGCACAATTGCTTATAAATACTTCCAAACCTATTACTACCCCACCGTTTCTAATATTTATTTATGGGACATATTTTTTTTACGTTGTAGGAAAAAAATTATCTTATGTTGTAGAAATAAAAGTATAAGTGGGACCTACAAGTAAGAGGAGAAAAAAAAAAAGTGGTGGGACTCAACTTTTTTTTGTGTAAGAGAGTTGTTTATCTCATGTAAAATAAGATAAACATAACCCATTAATTATAATAAAAAAAATTGTTACTTAAAAAAAAACCAAATAGCATACACGTAAAATATATTGGGAGCAATATTTCGAGAATAAAGTGACCAAAAAGATTGTGTGGAAATGATTTGGATTTTTTTAGTATGAAAAAGTGATTATATAATCATTTTATTTGATCACAGTTATTCATTGATGATGAGATAAGAAGAAATAAATGTATAATTTTTAACAATCAAATAAGAGAAAAAAGTTTCCGATGTTACTTTAGATAACTTTATCTAATGTTCATCGAAACGATGTCGTTTTGAGGTTGAAAAATTAAAAAATTAAAGTGATAAAGACTATTATAACCCTGAAATAAATTAAAATTACAAAAATACCATGATTTCTGTCCCAAAACGACGTCGTTTTGATGAACATTAGATAAAGTTATCTAAAGTAACATAAAAAAAAAAAAAACCCATCAAATAATATCAAATAATCATTTTTTAACATCAGAAAATCCAAATCTTATGGTAATACCTATTAATTATATTCCTAGAAAAATAAATTATTGGTCTAATCATTGCTTTAACAAGACATGCCCCACACGTAACGATTTGACTTTCAACCTACGCTGTGATTTCTAGTAAGGTTATTTCCTAAGTTCGTCACGTTTTTTTTTTCGCAATTCTCGATTTCCTCTATTATAATAATTTAGAGTAAAGCCTTTTTTGAGTTTCTAACAAAAAGTATAATCTTCATAGTTTCTTAAAAAAAATTAATTGCTTGGTCCTATGAAATTCATAGTGGATCCATTTTAATTTTTTTGAGGGATTAATGTGGATCTTTTTTGAATTTGTGAGGAACAATAATTTCAACTAAATGCGTTCACTTTGAATTTTTTAGAAATTTTGAGACTAATTATTTTTTGGAAAGAACTGAAATTGAGACCGTATTTTTTTGTTAGGAAATTAAAAGAGACTTTACTCTATAATTTATACATATAAGATATCTATAGTATATATTATTTGTAAAGAATGAGTGAGATTGTATTTACAAATTTTTTATTTATAAATTATATTATGTATTATGAATAGTATATATTATTTGAATATGTATTACTCTTAGTACATAATATAGTTGGTAAGAGTTTACAAACAAAAAATTTATAAATATAATTTATCCCAAAGAATAATTTATTTCCTTATTTTATGATTCTATTTAATATAAATAAATTTATTGCTTTATATTTAATCTTATCTTGTCTTATTACATCATATGCTATTTAGTTCTAATATTTAAAACTTGAACATAATTTTGATATTGAAATTTTTAAGTTTTTTCCTTTCTTATTTATTTGCTTTCATCTCTCGGATAACATGGAGAAAAAATGCGTTGGCTTGCCTACATTTGATTAGTACATTTAATAAATTAATATTATTCCATATTCAAAACTTCTTTATAGGAAAGGATACTTTTTTCAATATTTTGTTTTTGAACTGTAAGCAATGCAATTATTTTTTAAAAAAATGTTCATGATAATGTACGTAACATTAATGGAAAATGTTATTGGATTTTATTAAGACTTTTAAATATTAATCAGGATCACGATCATCTTATGTAGTCTTTCGGATTGCTAATCTGTTGTATGAATTTTTGTACCGAGGGCGAAACTATAGAGGATCTTTACCCTTACAAATTTTAGTTTTATGATAAAAATTACAAATCAAAATTTTTTAATGCATTTTATGATAAATGCAACCATATGAATAATGTCATAAATTGTGTTTAAACAAGTTGTTTGACCATCTTATCTTCATATTGATTTCCTATTTTCTTCTCATAACATATATTTAAATATTTTCATCTGTTAAAAAAAGAAAAATGAACGAAAACAAAAACATGAAAATATCTCTCTTCGAGAAAGAGCACCTCCTGACCAAAATAATGGTTTCTAATTTTTTTCTATATTCATTCACTACGAAGAACAACGTTTTATACAACCAATAAATGCTATCAGTCACAGTACAAATAAAAATTAACATAAAGATAAAAAGTGCACACCGGGAAGGTGTTATCAATAAATTTGAACAATATTATCGTAAATTTGAAGAAAGTCTGTACTATTATAAAGAGAATTGTTAAATTTGGTGTACAAATTTAATTTTTCAAAATTTGGTGTCCAATTTTAATGATGTGACATATTTGTTAATTCTCAAATAAATGAGTGGGATCCATTACTTTTTTCTATCCAATAATTTTCTTTCTATTTATGGAGATTCTGACTATTTATTTTCTAATTACGTAGCATTTTCAAAATACAAATTGACATATGTGTAATACAAAAACGTAAAAACTCTTGTTTTCGACATTTTTACTTCGCTTCCACAATTTAAAATGCACTCTTTTTTCAACAAAATCCACCAGTAACATCTTACTTTGGGTTTATTGTTTCCTTTATTAATTTCAATTAGTTTGTTAGATCAGAATCAACGACTCTTAAAACAATTTTAAGAATTAATAAAAAAATCTCTCTCTTAATTTTCCTTAATCTTATTTTTGTCCCCAAATCCTTTCTGCTTAATTCCCTATCACATTTGTTGTTTTTTCTGTACATCTTCTCTTTGTTCTTCTCACTATTCTTCTCATTGATGTTTTCTCTTTTCTTGATTTTCCTCTTCCTCCTTTATATCTTCAAAATATTCTCCTCCCCCATAGTTCTCCACTAATATTGATGCTACAAATAATTGCAAGAGGTTAATGCCAAAAATTCTTCTTTTCTCTTATTTTTAAACATAAATAAGTTTACGTTTGTCTTTCAAAAAAAAAATAGTGCTAATAATATTTGTTTGATATTATATAAAATTTATATAAGTACAATAAAAGGGTGGACATAAATTTTTCTAATGAGATAAATTTTATTTGATAATATTCTGCCATTTTATTCTTAATCTTGCACCAGATTTCTATTACAAAATTTGCTCCTGAAACTATCTATGAACACCATTTCTAAATTTTCCTATACATTAACTTTTATATTATGATTTTCAGACTTTTTTCATGGGATGATAATTGTTGGACTTGCTAAAGATTATGCAAGAGATGTGCAAGTATACGCAGCCACAAGTAATATAGGGTGTATTTAAAATCCCAATATCATTCCCACAAAGATTTTTTTAGCGCAGAAAAGACAAAAGAAAAATTACAATTGCTTAAACTGAATTCTAAAAAAAGGAAATTAAAATTAAATTGGTTAAACAGAAATTAAAAAAAAAAAAGGATTAAATTTCACTCGAAGATTTCTGATTAACACTTGAGGTCACTTAAAAAATAAAAAGTAGAAAATAAATGGAGAAATTATTTTTGAGGTTTTTCTGTTTGATTATGTTTTCACAAGATTACTAAGATTTAACTGAATAAGAAGAAATCATAATTTAAGTCAAAAAGTTTAAGAGTTCTAATTGGAAAAATTGGGTTGGATATGATTCCTTCCCCACGGATCATGATGTGTAATTACTTAGCAAAATTCTTTAACAATTAATTTTCCGTTGGCATACTAAGATAGATTTTTAATCCCTTAAAAATCTTTTTCCATTTGTTCCTACACAACTTATCCCTATGCTGGTGGAATTCAGAGCTTGAAGTTCAGGTCCTTATAACCACATAGAAGAGTAAAATTCACTTCTAAATCACTCCTTCAAATAATCACTTATTTGAGTCCATGAGTACAACTCAATTTTCAGAGAAGAGTATTTCCCAATACACTTCTCCTAACACACACAAAATCCATTCGGCATAGAAAATGCATTCAAATTTATACACAAAGTTGTACTACGAAAAGCAAACATTAACACATAAACCTAACTAACATCATTCACTCTATTTGGGGTCTCAAACACCCAACCTTTAAAGAGTTTAGCTCAAATTCATAAGGATTGAGCTAATTAACAGAAATGAAAGAAAACTACAAGGAAAATAAAATTGCAGAAAATTAACGCTACAGTACGAATGCTATTCACAGAGATAGCCTGCTACAGTACGAATGCTATTCACAGAGATAGCTTCGTCACTGTGCTTAAATTCACAAAATGAAAACCGCCAAAAATTACAGTATCCAAGTGCCAAAAAGAAATAAAGAAAGAAAAATCAGAAGAAGGTCCGAGAGAGAAGAGAGAGCCTACAAAATTTTATCCTTGCTCTTTTATACTCGATCTCCTCTTATACATGGGCTTTGGGCCCTTTCAGCATCAATCTCCACACGCGCTCCTTGCTGTGAGTCCACACGAGCACTCGTTGCTCCACGCTTTTCTCAAATGCTCCTCCAAACAGAATATTTCTCCACGCTTGTAACAACCTCCACGTCCCTAATTGGTTAGAGTCAGGCTTCTAGAACAATGGTCAAATTAATCGCTCTAAAGAAAGGCTTTTGTGGTTCGATGGCTGACAAAGAAATGGAACTGACCATTTGATGGCATAGCTTTATGGGTGCTTTGGTGGTTTGTTGTGGCTGGTTCAAAAAAATGGGTTCACGGTTTGATGTGGGGTTGTGGCTGGAACGAGAGTAGTGGCTTGAGCGGTGAGGGTTAGGGTTCAATAGCTTTAGGTTATTCTCCCAAATGTGGTTCATTCCTTGCACATTCTTTCCACTTCTTCTTTTTGATTCTCACTTGGGTCTTTCTCACTTTCAATTTGGGCCTTTCTCTTTTAACTCAACGACCCATTTCTTTTTATTTTTTTCTTTTACTTTGATAGCCCACTTCTTCCACTTCTTTTGACTTGAAACATAAAA